CAAACTCTGTAGCGTAGCAAGGTTGTCTGGTAACTTTCTGTTGTATTAACTCAAGTGATCTATTGTGCTTGCAGGTAGATCATTAACTCTGTATATTATGCTGCCTCTCATAATGCAGAGACACCTAAAGCTTTTGCATATTCCCCAAAAACTTCAGTTAAATGACTAATGAATTGTACTTTACTTTAGAGTAAGGGCATAGGAGACTACAAATTTCTCGACTTTTCCTACAAGAATCTTATTCTATGTTTACACACTAAAATTAATCATTTCCATTTTTATCAGTAACACCATAACATTATCATGCATTAGAAGCGCATGAGGTTCTCTAACCGATTATGCACTTCTACAAAAAAACAACTTCAACAGGCCTATAGGTTATCCAGCGGTCAGCATCAGCAGTGAATTTAGATTTGCAGTATATAACTTACAAATGACACCTGTTGCCCTGTTGGAACACAGGTTCTCCAAAAAAATTGGAATACAAAACACAGCATACACACAAGAGGAAAGTCACACCTACTTGATGATCTGAGATGCTGTTGTTGAAGCTACTCTTGTCTGGTGCTGCAAAAGGAAGAACAGCAATTCATTATCCAACAAAGCGCAGCGCCTAAGGTTCAAACCATGGGGCAGAATGTAATGTAGAATAGACAGTGTTAAACCCCCCAAAATTGCATGACCTATAAACAATTCTGAAATAGCCCATGACCAGCCAATTGAAATCTCTCCTACCATCCACCATCTCTGTTGACTAACAAACAAATTTTCCGGTGAGCCAGTGCAGATCTAGGAGGAAGGCACTAGGAGGGCAAGGACTCGTACCCTCGGGGGTGTCGCTATCGGAGAACTCCTTGTCGAGCACGCGGCCGAACATCTCGGCGATGCTGCCGTCCCCGGTGGCGTTGCCCGAGCCGTTGGTGACCAGTTTCCCGTAGAACTTCTCCCGCATCTCCTTGTCGGGCCTCGCCGCGGCGGAGCGGAGCTGCACCCCGAGGACGAGCGCGAGGGCCACCAGGAGCAGCGCGGCGGTGGAGCGCCGGCGAGACAAGGGTACCCGTCCCGCGGCCGCCGGGGCCATCGGATCGGTCCGGCGGCGGCTCGACCGACCGGCCGAGGCGGAGGAGGCGGAGGAGGAGGCCGCGGCGGCGGCGGGAGGGGGAGAGATTCGCGGGTGGCGCGTCGGGGTCGGTGGATTTTGATTCCGCGGGAAGATTGGTGTGGTTGGCGCGGTGGCGGAGTCGCCGTCCGAGCACGAGAAGACGGGAACGCGAGGCGAAGGCGGCCCCTGCGCCTTGTGGTGGTTATACTACAGCGGCGCGGGAGTGGGGCCCACAAGTCGGTGGCTCCAGCCGAAGTACTACGCATCATCAGCGAGAAAGTTTGCACGGGTGTCTCAGAATTTTGATTTTTGAGTTCCGAATTGAGCGGTTTTCAATTTTTAGGTTGTTGTTTTCTAAAGATATTTAATTGCTTGGATTTAGGAGTAGTTCATCGAGATGAATAATAATTCTGCAGACTTGGCCAGAAACGGGACGTGCTAACAGTGCGCCGCGAATTTTCTATGCGGTTGAAAATGTCAGACAAGACAACACGTCGACGCAAATTCCACATGACGCACTCATCTTTGAATGGGGATAGTTTCACGTGGTATCGCAGGAAGAACGATGTTATCGCCTTGATACCGTGTGCAAAAAACTGCAAATCACCCCTGGTAGCTTACCCTGCATTAAATCTAAAGCACTGATACATTAATACGTGTGGTTTTGGTAGAGTATTAACGCATAAGAGCATGTACAACAGAAGGCTATTAGCCAGCTGTAAACATATTTTAATGAGATAAAAGATAAGAGAGAAGAGCAGCGGGCTACATATATGTAGCCAGCTGCAGCACGGACTCCAAGACGCAATGTATGTATGACAGGTGGGATCATATATTAGTAGTATAATAAGCAACTATTGTATGAATTGATTATTAGATTAGCTATAGATGAATTGAAGCTAGTAATGTACTATACTATTAAACTTGCTCTAATTACATGGACGTGTGCTTCCCACGATTTTCTTAACTACTTTCTTGCGGTCAAACCATTTTCTTGATTTCATTCGTGAAGTACAGTTTGGTCTCAGGTCTGCAGCCACATACTCTCTCCATAAAAAAAACAAATCCTGGTTTCCGTGTTCAACGTTTGACCATTCGTCTTATTTGAAAAAATTATAAAAAAAATAAAAAGACAAGTCATGTATAAAGTATTAATCATGTTTTATCATCTAACAATAATGAAAATACTAATTATAAAAAAAATTCATATAAGACGGACAGTCAAATATTGGACACGGAAATCAAGGGTTTATCTTTTTTTTTTTTATCGGAAGGAGTATACTTGCATACAGACAATGTCAACATTAACAGCATTTGTATGCTTCTGTCTTGGAATGATGAACCTCGGGCTTTGATTCCATCAGACATTACAGCTGGTTCCAAATTTCAGTTGTATAGAGTTGTTGAAATATACTACTCGTACTCACCTGCACCTTTGTCTGTGGAGGGGAACTTTCAACAAATCTCTCCTGATCATGTGAGCGAGTCTCTACTTGTACTATAAATCTTTGTATAATACAGTAGCATCGTGTATGTGTGATCTGATTTTCTTTATAATGGATAAATATCTGGCCCCTATATCCACTTGTGATCTGAATACTGCAGTATATATTGGTAGTAAATCTTGTTGTAATTTATGAACTGTCTTTTTCCTGGACGATCGATTGATTCCAAAATCGTGGGATTTGAGTACCAGTATCTGACTCAAGCGATCTGAATGAGTGGTGGTTTAGCGTTAGTTGGGAGAAAATTATCAAGCACGGAGCAACAGCGACCCATTGAAAGTTGTAGCTCAACTAGTAATCCTGGTGGCTTATTGGAGGCCTAGGTGGTTAGGACTTGGGAGATCGCACTCAGACGAGTATACTCGTGGCAGTTCTGTCTGTATAAATCAGAATCACTGGTCTGTATGTGACGCACTGTCATTTTCTAGTAGACCAATGGAGCAGAAACAACGGACATTGTTGCTAGAACACCAAACTAGCATACTAGCATTCACGCGTAAATCGGCTGAAAGGATGGATTTCGCAATCAGACGGCAATACCGTAGTGGGTCGTGATGATGATGAGATATTGAGATCCATCCAACATTCTCCAAACCACTTAATCACCTAAGACTAGAGTAGTAGACTGAAGAGGCTTAAGCTCAGCTAATGCTCGAGTCGTCAGAAAAGAAAATCAGGAGTGAACAGAATGAAAGCTTGGTTGATAATGCAGGTTGGCGTTGGTCCACCCACTCAACTAGAAGTGACAGCTTCTTAGGGTGAAAATCCACCAGGCCCACCCAATAAGGCCACCAGCCCAATATTATTAGGAATAAGTTCACTTTAGATCCCTCAATTGCCGAGTCTAAAATTTATCCCTAAACCGCAAAACCAGACGTGCCCCTCAACGTTAAAAACCAGTGCGAATTTCAGACTAGTACCTGGTATTGGAAGCTGAGGGACGCGCTATATCTGTATTGCGGCTGAGGATGAATTTCAGACTTGACGACAAAGGACTTAATCGGTTGTGCTGGCTGCAGCCAGCAAGCCATTCACAGCTGCCGCTCTTTCGTTTGGATTGGGGCTGACTGGCTGCAGTTGCTGCAGCCAGCACTTCCGATTAGGGCCAAATTGAGGGATCCAAAGTGAACTTATCCATATTATTATACCCAGCCGCGCGCAGCCTATACTAATTGGGCCGGAACGGCCCATCCCTCTGGACCACAGTATTGGGCCGGAAAGGGATCGTGGTGTATGCGTGGCCTATGAATATTGGGCCGGAACGGGATCGTGGGGTATGTGAGGCCCATGTGAGTTCGGCTCGAACGTGTTTGTTGGGCCGAGAGTACGGCAGGTTGGAAAACCATGGCAATGCGTCGCTGCTGACAGCGGTTGGTGAGTCTACTTCAGGGGATCAGCATTCCGGAACCTTCGAAAAGAGCGCCTCACCTTGTTCGCCGTCATCGGATGGCTACTTCCTACCTAAGAATTGAGCTTGGAACGCAAATGCTGGTGCGCTGATCCATTTCGCCAATGGAAGCACGAACCGACAAGGCGGCAATACATGATGCGGATGCATGCTCTCAAGTCTGAATCTGATGAACCAATCAAGTTTTCCTAGCCATGTTAATTTGGAGAGATCTACATCTACTCCAGGTGACTGACAGACAGATAGCAAGCAGCAATATATACTCCAGAACGGTAAAATCTATGGGCAAAGCAGTGAAATCACGTGTATATTTATGACCTTACTGTACTTTACTTGCAAAATGTATTGTAGTAGTAGTTCTTTAAAAACAACATGCAGCCTCGGGATTCTACAGGTAAAGCCCCACTTAAATCAACTAGCTAGTCGTCTTCGAATCAGGTCTACCCTCGTCCCTCGTCCAGTGGTTGTTCTGTAGAAGAAACCACTGCTTTGTTTCTTTACGGCAGACGTGATCTGAAACTGGCAAGAAACAGTGCCAACGCCCGTCCAACGATAACGAGATACACGCAACAGAAGCGTATAACCAACAATTTCTGGAATCATTTTGGAAGGATACCCGACACAGTAATGGTCTACCGGTTTTCATCCAAATGGCAGAGCAGAACGAACAGTCGAAACACCCGACCCGACAGAACGGCAAAAAACGGGCCTGAATGCCAGCCTGAACCGGCACCGCGCCACCGCCACGTCGTCATCGTCTCGATTGGCAGCTGCCCTCTCACTTCCCCACCAATGCTAGGGCCTGTTTGTTGGAACTTTTACCTGCTACAGTTTTTCTCAAAATCAGAAACTTCCCCCAAACAATCTAGCTTTGATTTGTATAATCTAGAAAATAAACTATAACCCAAAACTTAAAAAACCTAGCTTCTTTAATTCTCATAAGCTAGCTACCAACAACTTCTCGGAATGCATGCCCTAGATCTCCTGCGCTGCCATGCCGCATCAGCTTAGCTAGCGCCTTCACGTGCGCATGTGCTCGCTATATTATCCAAATCGCAAAACCATCCAAGGCGCGCGGCCTCACCAACCACCACGCAAACCCATTGTTAATTAATTAGCGGCACACTGTCACGGCGCATTATTTGCTAGCTCCAGTGACAGCTCACTCCTCTTCTTGCTGCTGAGGGCTTAGCTAGCCAGTCCACCTCGTCGGTGTGTGTCGGTGTAGTCTAGCAGCTGCGGCGGGAGGAGGAGTTGCCGGCCGGAGATGGCAGCGGCGGCGCAGCGGCTTGTCGCCGCTGTCGTCGTCTTGGTGGCCTGCCTGGCGTTGCCGGCGGCGCGGGGGCTGAACATCACGGCGATGCTGAACGGGTACCCGGACTACAAGATGTTCAACAAGTACCTGTCGGAGACGAAGGTGTGCGACGAGATCAACGCGAGGGAGTCGATCACGCTGCTCGTCCTCGGCGACGGGCCAATGTCGACGCTCGTCCTCGACGCCGACCAGTCGCTGGCGGGCATCAAGAACGCGCTCCGCCTCCACGCCATCCTCGACTACTTCGACCCGAAGAAGATCCGTGGCCTCCCCGACGCCGACACGATGACCGACACGCTCTACCAGGCCGGTGGGGACGCCGCCGGCAAGATGGGCAACGTCAAGATCTCCACCCTGGACACCGGCAAGATCGCCTTCGCGTCCGCCAACCCGGGGGGAAAGTACGAGGCCACCATGGTCAAGGCCATCAAGCAGATGCCGTACAAGCTCTCCATCATGGAGATCTCGGCGCCCATCGAGTTCGACGGCCTGTTCGACACGCCGTCGGCGACCAACCTGACGAGGCTGCTGGAGAAGGCCGGGTGCAAGCGGTTCGCGTCGCTCATCACCAGCACCGGCGTGCTCAAGACGTTCGAGGATGCCATGGACAAGGGGCTCACCCTGTTCGCGCCCAACGACGACGCGTTCGACGCCAAGGGCGCCCCCGACGTCAAGAAGATGCCCAGCGCCGACCTCGTCACGCTCCTCAAGTACCACGCGCTGCCGTCGTACAACCCCAAGCCGACGCTCAAGACGGTGTCGCGCGCCATGCGCACGCTGGCGTCCACCGCGTCGGGGAAGTACAACATCACGGTGGACACGCGGGGCGACGCCGTGACGCTCAACACGGGCGTCGACAAGTCCCGCGTGGCGGCCACCGTCATCGACGACACGCCGGTGTGCGTGCTCACGGTGGACAACCTCCTCATGCCGGTCGAGCTCTTCGGCGACGCGCCGGCGGCGGCCCCGAGCCCGGACGACGCGGCGCCCGCCCCGTCGCCGTCGGTCGCGGACGCGTCTCCGCCGGCGCCGCCGCCGGCCGACGCGCCGTCGAAGCCGGCGGATCACAAGGAAATGAAGGCGTCGTCCGCCGTCGCGTTGCGGTCAGTAGTGCTCGGCGCATTAGCCGCGGCCGTGTGTTCCTTCGTGCTGCTTTAAGCACAAGTTTTTTTTTCCCTTTCTTCCATGTCCAGTGCCGGTGATTGTGATTGCACGAGCTGCATTGCCAATTATTCCTCTGTATAATGCGAGCAAACTGTGTACATTTTGTTCTAATTCTGATATCCTTTTCTCCGAATCGTCTGCGCCATTTCGGTGCGGTGAATTTGGAAGAATTCATGTCGCGTTGAGCTGTACAACTGTAGATCATGTGAGTTCTTGTCCTTTGAGCGCGTCGTCATGCAGGCCCACCACAGCAAATGCGGGTGTGTTGATGTGATCTTGAAAAAACAGATTCGGGCGAGAGAGCTAGTGCGGCTGCCGCTGCCTCCTTGTGCTGGCATTGGCAGCTCCTACGGATTTCGATCAATTCGCCGTTTCAGGACCACCGGTGCCAGTAATGCCCGTTGGCCGTGGGTTATTTGATAACTCTATCTAGTCTTTAAATATTTTTAGACAAAAATAATAGAAATTTAGGTCATCCTATTTTGAACGCGATTCTCAAATTTAATAGACTAAAAAATTAAAGTCCCTTACCACCTAGGACAACCACAATGCAGAAATACAAGGGGTATTAAGGGGCTGTTTGGTTGAGCGCCAACCTTTGCTACAGTTGTGACAATTAAATTTAGTGTTTGGTTCATGCCACAGGTGAGTTATACCACTTTTTTTTTTAGCAAGCTAGCCCACTTGTCATTGAGTAATTTTTTTACCATAACTTGCCACAATTGTGGCAAATAAATTCTTAGCCATATAATGTGCCAAATATTTTGTGGTAAACTATGAAAGTTATGAAAGTCATCCAAACTATGGAAGCCTCTAAAGTGGTCCTTATACATTGTAGGAGTAGTTCATATATATATAATGCCTAGCCATAAGAATAAAATAACAATACTTTCTTTTCTCTCTCACATAACATACAATTGAGTGGGACCAGTAAGATCTATGCTAATGCCTCATCTTATCATAGCATATTGTAGCAACTACCATAATTAATATCAGGTCCCATCTTATTACCCAAGTAGACATTATACATTAAGCATGCCCTAAGGGCATCAGCATCAGCAATGTTTATTCCCAAACCAAGCAATAAGGGTGGGCCCGTTGTCAGGGAAAATATCTAGCAATGTGTGTATGTAACAGAGGGGGGGAGGAATAAGATTGGTCCACCTTCAACCAACCTATCACAAAGCCTTGTTCTGACTTATAAAAGTGAGGTGGGACCCATCATATTCCCTTACTACCGGCAATAAACTTGTAACCTGGTAGTAACTATTTACTACTGTCACAATGTTTATTACTTGATAACAAACCCCTATTTAATGCTTATTACCTGCTCTAGCACTACATTGTGGATGCAGTTGTGAGCACTGTGTAGTTAATCCACGGAAGAGTAAATTACACTTCTAGGGCTCGAACTTGCATGGCAGAGAAAGGAGTACAATAATTTGGAAACGCTTTTTCTGCTCAACTTGTTCATGCGAACCAAGAATTCAATTGAAATGCGGGATGCACGGGTATAGCCGTTCAGCGATATTAGTACAGATTTAACTATTTATCTGTGGAGAATAATACAAATTTATACACATGAACTCCATAAAAGTAATTAAGAACTAATGTCCTGAACCCTGATCATTGCTAAAGGTCGTATAAACAAATACGGTATTTACACACGGAATTGACATGCTGGCGTTTCTTACACACTACACTATCCAATTATACATCTTATGTTACAAGTAAGAGGATATATTTCACTGTTTGAGCGAAGTTGTAACTACAATAGATACAATATGCCCTGTGGAATATTTACAACATACATACGCCAAAATACTTAAATCTTGAAGACCACAAGCACAAAATGGGTAGAGAAGATCAGTCCTTGTTGCGAGAGGACCGCTCCCGCTCCTTCTTCTGACCACCAAGAATCCGAGAGATTTGCAGTCCTCTACTGAACGCTTGATTAAATAGCATCCGTGTCTGAAACTCGGACACAAAGGGAAACCATGCCAAAATAGTAATTGGTGTAAAGAGAAGAACTCCCATAATTATCTCGTATGCCCGAGCAAGGGCACGAACAGATCCCCATAGCCCTGCTCGCCGAGCAAGAGGCTTGCAAGCTTGTGCAATCTGAAAGAGATTGAGCAACAATGAGAAATCAACTAAAGCATAAATGAAGTTAATGAGCAGAACAAGTAGGAGAAAGACAAACCAGCAATATTCCCCATCCGGAAGGTAAGAATGCCAGAAAGCACACAAATATATCTCGTAAGGTCATATGAAGTATTGCTATCAGTACAATCAAGATGGCGATGAACGAAACAAATATCATAAACTTAATCAGACGGAAAAATAGCTGAAAATCCGCACTAAATCTCCGCCTTCCGACAGATACAGTCTGAAAACAGTATAAACAATTTAGGTAAGCAAAATTATAGATAAGATGCTATGGACAGCAAATAGTGTTGTTAACGTGGCCACCAACCCGCCAACAGTTGTATGATCCTTTTTTTTTCTTGAGAAATTAATTCTCACCTTCATAACAAGCAATACCACCAAAATCACGAGCCACGAAATTAAATATACCTGGAAAGAACAAAGTAGCAAAAAATGTTACAACCACCCCATCACTTGTTCAATAAAAATGTAGCTCTAACGATCTTTCAAAAAATGCAGCTTTAACAGAACAATAAAATTAACATGGAGGGCATACCAATATACTTTTGTCGCCTGTGATATTTAAGTGGTAAACAAGGCCATACTGGTATATGAAAAACCTCAGGGACAAAATTATCTCAACAAAAAGTCCAATTGTCCCAGAATATTTCAAATGCTCTAGCTCGATCTCCCACCAGGATTCCCAACTCTTGTCTGGTGACACCCCAATGCCACCACGATTGCTGATCCACTTATTCCAATCAGACCAATCATCCACAATTTTCGTCCACTCAAATCCCGATGGATTGAACAGGAAGGGTGCAAAAAGCCATGTCAACACTAGGAACCACATAGAGAATGTAACAAAAATATAGGCAATGGTTGAGCGGTAAGATTGACCAAATAGTTGGTAAATGATGAGCAGAATCAACAACTCAATGCCTTTAACAAAGTGACTGCGAGAATAAAGCCTGTAATTCTCTGCAAACTTAGCATGAAAGACAACAAAGCCCCTACCAGTAGCTCTGTACTGAGCACCTCCATGGAGCAACATTCGTCCATAGTAGTGAGTCTTAGTGCCAAGTGAAAACGTAAAGAACACAGCTGCCAATTGCAAGTTCATCATGATAAATTCACTTAGTGCTTGACCAAATCCTTTTTCAAGGCCAATTTCCATCATCATGGGCAGGGCCATCAGAAAACCTAGCTGAACCAGAGATTGTGAGGCAAGAGCAACCTGAAGGGGGTGGTTATGAATGTATCTCCTTTGTGTTAAAAGCCCTTCTTCAAGTCCACTGAGAGCAAGATAAAGGCGTCCATACAGAAATACATAAACTGTGACAACTGTCAGCTGTAGAAAAAGTGAAAAGTATTAAAAACATAGTTAACTGTGCTGGCGTACTCAAAACAATTGCAAATACAAGTTATTTTAGCTTAGGGCATTAGGAATTAAGGCCTCAATCAACAAGGGATAATAGGAAGATGTGAGACCAATGTGGCTCAGTTGTACAGTGACCAATCTTCAGGGAGTGGTCGACGCAAAGCAGACATACCAGAGTACTGAAATAAAATCCCACAGTAGTGAAGTAGCATGAAAGCATTCTGAAGAAATCGAAGCGGTGTCCAAGCCGGTAGATATCACGGCTAAGAGTCTGCTCTCCATTTCCATTGGCCACCTTAGCCTCAAACTTAGAGATCTGGTTTAACCCTACATCTCTTCCTTTACCAACTTGCACATATTCATGATGTGTTATATTTCCTCCACGGAGAGTTGAATTATAGCCTGTAACATAAAAGACAAGAGGAGCATTACCCCAGTTCCTGAATATCCAGTTACATCTGGAAAGAAATTAACATACAGGGCATTCGTATTGAAGCAATGGAGATATATAATTACTGCCAAAGACCATGATAATTGATCTTAGCCACTTCATTAATCAGCAAATTGAAACTTTCAGGAAACAAACCTGCAAAAATATCTTCGCTCAAGTTGATACTCCTTGATGCCTTACTGACACCACCTCTTGTTAGATGAAAAATCCTATCAAATACGTCAGGATGGCCATAGTGGAATCGAACCCTAGAATAAAGAAAGTAATAGCTTTAGATGCAATCCAAAAAGGGAAATTCTGTACGTTTTATTATAAAATTCTTATGTAGAACTAGTTATCGGAAAGTGCACTATAAAATGGCTTGCTCAATATGTTTATAAGCTAGCAAATGACATGGCTTAGTTCATCACATGCAATTTCAGATTTAGAGAATATAATATATGATCACTTAGCCTTTTTCTTGTGATTGATGAAAATAATGTATTATGTATCCATTCAAATGTATAGTAACACACATGTGAGGAGGAAATAATCAGATAGGAGAAGATCTCACTTCAGAGGGTTTGCAAGCAGCCGTTGCCCAATAGTCACAAAACTATGCTCCTGATTGGACATAAACCATGCGAGAGAAGAGACACTGCATAATTGAAGAGAAAGGTGCATGAATGAATTACTAACAGAACCTGAAAACTCAATTGAGCAACAGAACAAAGAAATAGCAGAATGTGAAAACTAGATTGAGCAACTCTTATCAACCTGCCAGTAAAAATATGTTCCCTAACTCCAAGTATAGATGGGCGCCGAACTCCATGTTCTGTAAGGAACTCTTGAAGCAAATTTCTCATTTTAAGTGCTTCTTCCATATAGTTATCCTACAAAATTAAAGGTGTGCACAAGTAAATATGAGTTTGAATGGAAGCATAAGTGCTGCACCTCCTTTGGAGAAAATGACAGCATAAAGTACGATTCTACAAACCTGGTTCATGTCTATGGTTTGCAGGCCTTCACCACGGGTGAAGATTATTGCATGATTTTGATTTTCAGGCTTTCCTTCTCCCAACATTGCAGGTCCTGGAAGTTTTATCCGGTAGATAACCTTGAAAACAAAAAAATGCAAATGTTGCAGCTTCACAGGATCACAGAAAGAACTTTCACACTTGATCCACTTCTATAAAAGAAGCCCATAACTTCCAGCATTTATCAGTAAAAGAAGTTTCAAGAACAGCAGTTGTGCAGGAGGTTCCTAAAAGTGTGTACACGTCCACTTGAACCTTTAAAGTTAACTTCTTGAGCATCTATCAGTTAGAGAGAGTGGAAAGGAATTGTGGCACTGCTAAGCAAGTCCCGAAGGAACTCAGGACACACTTATCACTCTCATTGCCTGGGAATTATGAAACCATCGGTGTGATTATGTTTTGAAGTTTTCAATAGGACAGCAGCATTCATGTGGTCCTGAGATCCATTTCTCATGAACATGAAGGCTTTCGTTGGTGCTTGGCTGGGCAAAAGGACTTGCGAATTTGCAATACTAGCTGGCCATTCCAGGCCATTACTACTTGGTGGCTTGGTCGTTCATGAGTGGTGTGTGCTGCGTGTGTAAATATGTTTAGTGTGTGTGAGTTGGTTTTTGGGTCAGAACGTCCTTCTTGACCTTTTTGTACTGTGTTTTCTCCTTATTGAAATGACATGCAGCTCTCCTGCGTGGTTGAATAAAAGAAGAGAGAGTGAAAAAATCTCACTGCAAAATTAGATTGTTGAGGATACCTCTTCAAATCTAAATAGTGTTGTTTGGTCTATGGTTTGTATCACTTGTTTTAGAATTAGGCTGGGAATCCTTTGATCCTTCTATTAATAGTGTTTTTGTTTTGTGCCTAACATGATTTGCCAAAATTTATGCCCCACTACCTAATCAGGTAGAAGTACGGTTACCTGATAAGATTTTTTTTGACAAGGAATTACCTGATCAAGATTTTGAACTGGATCTGTAGATTCAGAATCCTTAGTTAGAGCAACCTTTACCAAAGTTGAGTAATAAGCTGGCTCCATTTTCTTTTCTTCCACTCTATCTTCGACCTGATCGATATATGCTACACGAAGAGAAGGGTACCTGCAAGAAATTTATCGCTAACAATTAGAACTTGAGACAGAAGGAATGACCTACATTATCCAATCATGGAAAACACTGTACTATCATGTCTACAATTGTGCAAATTCTGCAGCAAAGCTTTGGAAAAAAATCCATTGGTTGATGTGTGTGAAAGAGTGTGATATAACTGCAAAACATTAAATATCATGATCAAACATGATAGCATCAGGGAGAAATGAAATATAAATTTAAATACCAACAATTAAACAGTGTATTGGCATTCTTCTTTCATATCTCTCTCTATTTCTTCCAATACAATCCAATCATGCAATTTTTGTGGTCAAAATAATATCTTCTATATGCCCAGTAGTATTGTCAGCTATTTGGAAACTTGCACACGAAGTTCATACGAGTTAGATTGTATCTCTAGTGTACACCTAATGTGGCTCCAAAATTTAAATCCAGAATGATATGCAGCATTGAATGGATTACTTATAGTATTATAAATATTGAAATCACTACAGCTACTACAATATGATGAGTACTTAACTAATCTCTACATCTACAGTATTCAGGTAAATGCAATATCCTTATTTACGTTCTCATCAGCTGTAATATGTCTTGGGCATTAGGAAGAGCAGCACGCTTGTCATTTCCATATTGCTGGCATGATACCACATAGGTAAACTTCATATCAGCCACTGCTTCACATTGCGCAAACAAGGACCGCTGTAACTTCCATTGTTCATCAGTTGACTCAACTGCTTTATACCCTTCCATGAGATCTGCAGAGTGGGGAAAAATGAAAGAGTGCTATGAGAACGAAATAGATAAGAATCATGCTGCAACCATAAACCCATGCACTAGCAACGGTTTGCTGCTAATTGCATCACAATGGTATTGTACCCCCACTCTTAACACACATATCCAAGATCATGATGTGAGCAAGAGCCCTGCACAGACATGTGTATTACCTTCATGTTTGGCCATATCTAGAAATGCTTCAAGAACCAAAGCTTTTCGGTAGTACATCATTCCCCTAACTGTTTCAGATCAATCACGCATAAATTTAGAAACTATCAAGAGGTACAAATTTGGAAACTTTTTTTTAGAGGAAAGATCATTTTTTGATGCAGACTTTGTAAGAAACTAATAAAGGTTAATCAGCAATACCTGTTCGAGCTAATGTTTGCCCTCTGTATGAAGCCCACAGACGAAGCTCCTCATTCTTGTCTTCATTCTCTTTAAGTTCCTCATCCCATTCAACCCTTTGCTGAAAGTTCTTCCATTCATCTACATACATATGCACAACAGGATATAGTAAAAGCCAGATGTAAATAGAAGACATAGACACTCATATGCTACATCAGGACAATGGAAAATAGTTTCTTCTCGACCTGGGTAAATTTTCTGTAGGTAGAATAGGGTGGAAACTCCATCCTCATTTTCCTCCTGCAGCTCTTTTATCGAAAAAAGAACAGGTTCATTGTAATACGGGGTCAACGCGCTGCAGATAGAAATAGACATTATCAGTTTGACAAGGGTGCCATGAGAATACTGAACATAGAGGCACTGCAAAAGTAATGTCAAAAGGAACTCACAAAAAATAATGAGCAGCATACAAGGACTTACGAAAATGAAAGCATGTTTCTGACTTTGGGAGCATCAGGCATGTCCATAAACAAAGAATTGGTGAAAAAGGTAAGACGCCTTCTAGCCTCCAGATTTGAGGGGACATCCATAGCAGACTCTTTCACAGTGAGTAACAGTTCCAGCCTTTTTATCTGCAGCAAGAAAAAAACATTGTTGACACTCATTTAGAATTAGGAAGTTTAGCCAACAACAGCAAATGGTTCAGTCTAAGATATAGTAAACCTGAAGCACACAGGCAAACACACCTTCTCTATCCAGGCATCTGTGAATTGTACGGGAAACTTGATAGCTCCAGCCGGTTGAAATAACTGATATTCTTGATCCCATGTCGTTGTGCCTTCAGGCCTTTGGTATGAACCACCATGACTTGACTCCAAAATACTGTCATGTTGCAAACAAATAAAATAATGACAAACTGCTGGAGGTTTGAACAGGAGCAATCATGTCATACAAAACTCATAGCAGCAGAATTTATTTCATATCTCGTCTACAAGCCTCCTGCCTCTATATTTTTTCTTTCCTTCACATCCATGAGTCTTGTTTTTCTAAACCTGCACAAATATTGCACATGGTAGTGAAATATTCACTATCATTTCACCCACGCTATCAACAAGCATGGTTGGTCCGGAAACCTTGTACTAAGACACTAAGTGATGATGGTTCTGTGCATCTCCGGGTGCAGAAGCCAGGCCATTTTATTCCACTATCTAAAAATAGCAAAATATTCCATAATTTTATTGTCCATTGAAAAATGCTACAACAGAAGTTGCTCATATAATGATATTAAACAGTAAATCGTCATGGTTCAGTACTTCATCCTCATGATATTTGCACATGTTTAAAACAATAGTTGTACCTAGAAAGTTGGTCTTCCATTATATCTCTTGTTACAACCTCCAGCATATCTTGAAAAATCTTTATTACAGCATCCCTATCATTCTTATCATTCTTCTCCTGATATATATAATAAACAGACAATGAGACAAACTAGAATCTGGTATACAGACATATGGACAGACTCCATGAAGTTTGCATGTATAACAAGCATTGCGAATATGAGCTTACCAATCATCATCAGTAATTGCTAAAAAAAGGTCATCAGTAGACAGACAGTCAATCATGAAAAGGCAAGCATGTTTCTTTACGCGTTGCATTCATTAAGATAAAATGCCTAGCTTCTCATCAATTTACGTGCCAGAATGCCAACTGATAATCCTTTGTACTAAAATACTTTCCGGCAATATAACTATCTTTTAGATATTACAAAATATATTTCGATTATCTAACATTTGAGGAAATAAACAGTACATTTTGCAGTAATTTGCTGATAAATGGAAAATAAGCTACATTTCTTTAGAAAGATAAATAAGCTACATGTTATGATGATTGGTTAGACAAAAAAGATGTTGACCTTACCAAATATTTTACCAATTCAACAAACTTATTGTAAAGATCTGGCAAAGCGTGCATATTCAAATCAGTAATAACTTTGTCATCAGCAATATACTTTTCAACTTCTGCAAATATAGTATTTATGACCCTGAAAAGCATCACAAAATGCACCATGGATCAGGAAATTATTTCTTCACAACAATATTCAAGCCTTTTGGATATTCCTTAGAAAGGATACATAACTTAATAGACAAAGCCTAGGAGAGACACCTTTTCTCTGGTTCACCTTGTACAAGATCCTTGATGATATTTTTAAATGATGCATAGCATTCTTCAATTGCACATTTAAAATAATAGTCGTTCTCAAGCCTCTTTTTCAGGTCACGGTCTTTGCCATTGCTATCTTTAGCCATGTCAACAGCTATGGGGATCTAACATTCACATTATTCAAAACAGGAGTGAGGTTTGTTCAAATAAAATATAACCAAAATGAAAAAAGAAAGAGAAGAGAAGGACCTTGCTGGCAAGCAAAAAAGGAGGCCACTGCATAATCTCAAGAGCCTGATCAGCCACATACGGAACAAGCAGCAGCTCCTTCTCCCTGTGTTAAAATGGGGTCCACAAGTTTAAAGGTAGAAAACACAAATCCAATTGGAATTAAGTAGCTATCCATGCTATGCACTCACTTGTTATTTATAAGGTCCTCTTCTCGAAAGCTCGTGATAATTTCGTTCCACATCTGTGCAAATCTTGCGGCTATCTTCTCCTTGTCTGTGTGCTTCCTCTGAAATGTTGTAACAGTAACATAATATTTCAGAAATTAGCGAACCAATAAATATAAAAAAACAATGTAGAAATATGTAAAAGAAGAATAGAGAGACCTCAAAACGACTGTGCAAATAAGACTTTAGACCCTTCTTCCTTTTTGCATCAGATTCTTCAGCCGGAATTAGACAGGCATTAAAGGCTAAAGGTATTGAACCAAAGCGAGATCGCAGCATTCCTAGGGTGCGGATCTGTCTCACCAGAAAAGGAAAAAGGAATGTAAATAATGTTTAACAGATCCGCAGTCATTCAAATGAAACCCATAGGCAGTGGTCATGCTGGGGTTGCACCTACAATTTAATGACTGTTCTCATTTTCCACAAAGAACTAATTCAATTAACAGAAAGTCAGAAGGAAGTACTTAATCAAGTTATTGGCACCAGTTATCTCAATAAGAGTAAATTTCACAAAACTACATATACTTTGACCAAACTATCGCAAAACTACAGATTTAAGAAGATGTATCACAAAACTACAGATTTAGCACCAAATTTATCACAAAATTAATACACGTTTTCTTTTGGTCTAAAGGTTTCCAGTTGTTTCATAAGCGAACAACAAAAATGATTTGCAAATTGCATTGAAATAAGAAGACTGAAATAAATAAACAGCTACTCCCATTGTTCCCACAAAATTGTCACTGTTTCAATTTTGACCATTTATATTTTTAAATGGTTAGTCTATCATGATATGAGGCTTAATACAAATGTTTACAATGCAAAACACTTTGATAATATAGAATATTTTTAGGTACTTATAATTTCTTTTTGCAGAAAATACAAATGATCAAAGTTTAAATATGAATAGTGCTTGGGATAAATATTTAAGAACTTGAGGGAGTATTGCTGTTAGCATGAAAATATTGGGAAGCAAAAGATTTTAAGCGTACTAGTGTACTACAAATAGTAACTGGTCACTGCAACATGGACAAGCTGTCGTACAACAAAAGAAAAGACAAATATAATCTGTTTGAAAGATCTATTAGAGAGAGATATATATTATGTTCTTTATTTTAAAATTATGTGAGGGGTTTTGTTGCATATTTGCCTGTACCAATACGTGTATATATTTGAGCCCAGAGCCCTTTGATGAATACAAGTGATCTTCGCAACAAGATCCAGACATAGATATACAAAAGTATAAAAAGGAAAATTAACCTCTCCAAGTCGTTGGAAAGCACCATAAATTCCACCAAGCAGTGTCGAGAAGATTGTATACCAAATTTGTGTATCCATGAAATAGACCTGGAAAGCAAACAAGAATGCAGAAAATAATTGTATACTTCCTTCTACAGCACAAATCTAGCTTATCACAATTATCTTGCCACAAACAAATGGAGCTTCCTAAGCTAAAACAATGCGAGTGCTTAAAAACTTTCTAGGAAAACAAAGGAGAAGGTCGTACCAAAATGATTGGAGCCCAAAGCGCAATCACGACACCAATGTTTCCGTTCGCTACATAACAAAATTTAGGATTGTTATAAACTAATATACAGCTGAAATTGTTTGAGTGACATAGTTACCTTTTGGGAAAAACTCATGCCACTGAAAAGTGTGTATAGGTAACTTCATGATATCCTTGGTAGGTTCGACAAGAGGCTTGATCTTTAAGAATAAATGCAAGATTAAGTTGGTTCATACAGTTACTTCAACAGAATTGATTTCTAACAAGGTAAGCTCACAATAATTGAGAAAAAAAAAAGGCATTGCTCAACATGAACTAGATTCAGCATAATCCCATGATTTCAAAATGTAAGTCCCCTTAATTGAAAGGTTCTTCAATGATCAGATCGTCATGGTTACCAGTTTTATTAGGTGCATCTTGTGTGCGTCAAATAAATTTATCATAACATTACACTAGAGGTTTCTAAACTTGTAGAGAAGGTCCAAGTGGTGTTAAACTTGGAAGCAGAAGGTCCCAAAACATATTGAGTGCTGCTCAAGTCTGCAAACTTAAAAAACGCCATTTATGTCATAAAGGATTATTTTATCTGACAGAAGTTATAAAATGGAAATAGAACAGATTATTGGATATGTGAAACTAATGCGGATCATTTAAATTGATGTTTTCTATAGCCATATTGGGTATTGTGACTTTCAAATTGGCTGAAAGAGCTGACACAGCACTAGAAAATGGAGGTAAGCAGCGCACAGTGCAGTTTCATACATTGTGACACTACACCAATACTATTTTAGCTCTCGTAATTTAGGTAACCAAGCATGTTGTACTTGCTCTATCATTGCCATCTGCTAACCATGATGAGAACATTTAGATATTACACATAAAACATATACTATCAAAAGCATTAAGGCAGATATAATGCAACATGCTCTTAACAGTAGCTAAAACAGTCGAAAAAAATCATATAGCAACATCACCGAGCACTTATATTCCAAAAATATATATCTATATCTAATGTGTCCAAACAAAACTGCAGTTCCAAATCCATAGTAATTTTGGTCAAATGGAGTTATTGAGATAAATCAAAATGGAAAGTAAACAGATAATTACCTCCACATAATAGCTAAATGCAAACTTTATCAAAAGAAGAGCAATCCAAAACATGGTGTACCTGGAAAAATTGAGATAAGATCCTTTTGTTAACATGCAATGTTGTATAGTTACTCCCTCCATCCCAAAATAAGTTCATTTTTCACCCATCCCACGCATACCAATACAAAAGCAAAAGATTAAAATACACCTATTTTATCTACTCCCAATGCAATTATTCTCCACTTTCACAAACTTCGATGCAATAATTACTCAAAAATGAACTTATTTTGGGACAGATGAAAGGAGCTAAAAATGAACTTATTATGGGACGGAGAGAGTGCTAGTTAGTGTGTATTCATGGAATATTCACATACTCAGTTATCATTGATACAATATAATGAACAGTAATGTCAAGTTCTTACATGAAAAGTGAGAAGGCACTTTCATGCATTCCCCTACCAACAAATAGACGAGGCTGCACCAATACACACAACATAAGTTCACAATGTTCAACTAGATCAGAAAATAACTGCAAAACCTATACTGAAATTTCCAGAGAAAATCAGTAAGTGGCACCAATATCTAGGACTTTGATACAAGAAAGGAATTGTATAAACACCAAACGAGTTGCTAAATCAATGAAATAATAATTTAATCAAAATAATCCAAAAAAGTTAAATAGTAGTGCGTCCAAGAATACTAATAGAATATTTTTAAAATAAAAATGATATTAAATGTAAAAACAGAACTGTTAGAAGGTTGTAATTTCAAAACCACTGTTTCCTCATATTATAATTGTTTACACACAGTATTATTTCTTTATTTCTAAATAAATAATGTTTTTATTTTGTTAAATAAGTTTACTAAATAAATAATATTTCATCGAGAGTTAATTACTTATATTTTTGACCCAAAAATACATTTTGCTTCGTCATATCAGGTCTCCTTCTCAGGTAGTAGCTCACAACTATATTTTCCACATTATCTTGGTCAGTAGTTAACTGTAGTTTACAAAGAAAAATCGAGAATATCAAGTTAATTCCCTGCAAAAGAGATTAACAAATTTATGCCTAAATTTTCTTGATGGGTAAAAATGATATGATTTAATGAGTTTAAAATGCAATGTTGATAAAAAACGAAGCTATCATGCAATTCACTAAAATGTAATTATGTAAATTTACCTGTGACCACCACATGACGAACCTCACAAACTTGTAGTCTGAACTTTCAAGTATACGCCGTAGAAATGGGAGAAGAAAAAGAATAGCAGCTAGCAAACTGGGAGACAAATATATAACTACTGCAAGGACAAAGAGTGATGGGTGGTTTTGACCATTTCCAAACCAGCCTTTGATGGCCCTGATAATTCCTGTTGGATTCTCCCAGGTGTATGCATATGTAACCGGCAGTAATACTACCCACAAGGCTGCTAGTGTGAACTTTAGAACATATCTCAGTTTAACTGCAAATTCCATTGTTCTCCTGGCCTTCCAATTAAAGATTATATCAAGTGTAGCTGTAAATACCAATAAGAATTATTCAAATACCAAGAAATTACATAACTATGGAAATGGTTGTGCTGTCTTGTGCTCACTCAAAGATCTTATCACTACACAAATATAAATTGGAATGACTAAATATCTAAATTTTCTTTCACATAAAATATACAGGTGTTATATTTCTTCCATGCTGCATTCACTGACTAATTCGCAGAAAACATATTAGCTTGTTGGCATAATTATTTCATGTTTTTCAGACCTTGCCCGAGATTTAGAATAGCAGAAGTAATAAATATGCTCAGAATCTTCTTGAAAACAACAGGATCAAAAATATTTCCCAGCGAGCCTCCATTCCAAGCCAGAATTACCATAACCTAGTATAGAAAGATCAGTAGGTAGATGAGAATAATAAAAATGGTTTTATAGGTATCTATTATTCTATTGCAAAGGTAAATATGATTCTGAAATCTGCAAGCACTGCAAACTACTAGTATTCTCAGAAGAGAATAACGTAGAAATGGAGGTTCATACCTGAAGAGCTAGAATAAAGAAACTCCACATTCTATCGAAACTCCTGAATATGTGCCAAAAGGAGCGTAGCTCAACAAAGTTGACCTTTCCTTTCTGCTTTTCAGTTCTTGTGGTCTGCAAAAAGGCAATTACACTACTATTGTTTCAAACACCCGAAAAAAGAAGACATGATACTGAAGTAATAACTAAAGTGGGCTCACTTCATTTCTTTGATCAGGTGAATTTAAATGTTGACAAAAGAAATCAGCATCCGCACGCATAGGCCAACCTAACCGAAAGCACTCAGCAGACCTGCAATTTAAAGAATGTAAAATATAGGCAACAGGGGTACAAAGGTGTAAGATAAACTAATACCAGAAATATTCATTTAGATCATCGTAGTTTCTCCACTCAGAATGATTTCCTTTTTCTCTTTTGCTCCTTTCAGCTTCCTGAGGAATGATAGCAAAATACTAATTTTAGCAAAGTAGTGTAAAACATATATTGAATAATGGAATGATAGCTGAGAACAAGATATACCTTTGCAATGGTGAGGTAAATTGGAGTAACAACTTTCTTCAGAAAGGCTTCTTTCTCACCCCCATAGGCTGGCTTCACATATTCACCCGTCAAGGCACTCACATTTCCAACTAGCATACCATACATTTCAAATGCCATCTATAGAGTTGTAAGTGCTAGAGTTGTCAGCACCTCAATAAGCTATCAAAGTCCAACACAAACATTGTTGTGGGCACAGTAGAAGAAAAATTCTGAGCTAAAACATTCTTCGAAGGAAAAAAAAACTTATACTAACACAATAAATGAACTCCACGAATATTGGTTGATATGGTTGCAAAATTAGACTCTCCATAGGATCAACTATAGTATCTTGATAGAACAGGTCGTAGAGTTGAACTGTAGATTAGTATAAATTTTGCTCAATATGAATGATTGCATCCTCATTTACATAAAGGAATTTACTTAAACTGATGTTGCTCAGGCATACAATTAGCAATTTTAGCTACTGTCCTTAACACCTTGTGAAGATTGATCATTCATGAAACAACAATTACAGAAAAATACTTCCTCTATCCACAAATATAAGCATTCCAAACGTTTGAAATTTGTCCACAAATATAAGGATTCTAGAGTACTACTTGTCCCATCAATCGCCTCTCGTTCAAAATTATTCCCATATTACCCCTAACGACCCTTCCATTCCCATCCATCCCTCATTTAGTGAGGGGCACCAAAGTCTTTTCTCCTCAACTTTAACCTCTGCTAGACAACCTAGAAATGTTTATATTTGTGGGCGGAGAGAGTAACTGTAAATTATGAGTTGTGTGATCTCTTAGACTGAAACAACATAAATTTTTAATTCGATTTTAGCAAAATGAGATGTCACAACAGCTGAGTTGAAAGGAGTGAATCATATAGAAGATAAACATCATAATTGAGTTATCTTATGATACAGGGTTTGTGTAACTGCAGTGTTCATAATTGTTACCGTACATCAACATGTAGCCACTTCCACATTCTTTCTAGATGTTCATATGATCAATGGTATCAATAAAATGTGAAACAGGGTAGGCAATAAGAAGATGGTCAACATCTTTTTTACTAGAGTTTACCCGGAAAACATTTTACAATTGAAACATAAATCACACATTAATACCTGATGACTATTAATCTAATAACCCCATGTATAATAAATTTTACAGCATAATGTATTGCTTAAATTATTGTTAGTGTTATTCCAAAAAAACATTGGTTGGCTAATTGCAAATGAAGAAACTATACTCCGAACTGCTTACCTACATGTTTGTTCATGCACCAACCCAGAACTTTGTTTACAGGTCAAGTGGATGCAAAAACGTTGACCCACGCACGGTTAAGACAACACAACACTAATGCTTTGAGTGTGCACATAACCAAATCAGTTCATGGCATACTCCGCGCATCCATTCACAGAAAATAATTCATTGTTTGTTTTATTCATCATGAAATATATGGTTGTTGCAGGGCAGTACTCCATGGCAGTCCTTAAGGCAGATGAAGAGAACGAGCAAATGCATCATCAAAAGCTATAAATAAAGTCGTTATCCTACATGATCCAATCAATGGCCTACTGAAGAGAAATATATTCATAAAGTGAATCCGGCAACTAAAATAAAGAATTAGAGATATAAATTTAAGTAAAAGGAGAATTTAAGATGCAGAAAGATTTTTATTCACACCATACATGATGGTATATGTAGCAAATGCATTCCGGCATAAATCGCAAATTTGCAGCTTCACCCCAGATAAGAAGGTACAGACCCATATAAAGCAGTTTACGTTGTTGCACCTCCTGCTGAATTGTTGGCAACCTGTCATTAAGAAAGATAATGGAAGCTCAGAGACTGTAAGTGTTCAGAAAATGTAAGGCATCAGGTTTTTTTTTCTCCTTTTTGATGAGGAAAAAACAGTACTTATTCCCTAACTTGGGAATTTGGTCCATTTTGCGTCAAACTTTTCAAAGATGATTTATCACCTTTTATAATTATTGCACATACATATTTTGAAACAAGAGGGAAGTTGATGTTTAAAAAACTTGATTGCTTTGATTTGATATAGATATGACTTGGCTCACTATGAGTAACTTTTCCAGTTGATAGTGGCAGATTGTAACATGGACCGTTCAATTTAATGAGAGCCCTTAGATTTCCATACACCTATTGCTTTTGGAGTTTTAGTTTGCACTAGATATGTCCCTCAACACATGTTATAATAGTTAAAACTCCTGGTACCCTAAAACTAAGGAGAGGATGTCCAAACCAGCCATACTCAAGGTCATTCTAAAACCTTGAACCACAATGGAAGGCCTTCGGCAACATATAGCAATCCTTGTCTTCTTTTTTTTAACACTAATGCATTAGGTGCCTGCTTCTTTCCATCTAAAAGTTTGCCCACTACCACCCTTCTGGGTCTGTTTATAGGTTACAAATTATGAGAACTACAACCCTACAAAGTTCAAACCATGCTGATTGTATAAATACTATGGTATCATGGCCATAAATTCTTCTGTTTATTCCATCTAAGGCTCACCTTACTCTGTGTGTTTAATGTAAACATGGGTGCAGACTTACGACACCAGCAAGGGACGCGAAGGAAAGGAGAAGATGAGAGATATTGCCTTCAATTGGTAGGGTGACAACATATGCTTTGAACTAATAGGCTCACAGACCAGGAATTACATATATAACCGGTGTCGGATGTTATGGAGTACTGATTGCACTACCCCTTTTAAATTATATTTACAAATTTCCACCTTCACCTTTAATATCTTTCAAATTGTTTTACCTTTTGCAACTGCAGAGCACAGAGATTTGTGTGGGCTTTCTACATTATTTTGGTTGCTTCTTATGAACATTCAGTCCATCAAGCAGAGGTAAGGTAATGAAACACAAAGCACTAACTCCAAAGTCCAAACAGATATTTTTCAAAAGCAATAAGAAGAAAGAACCAAGTACAAAAGAACAGTAAGATAACAATGAAGAGATTCTGAGGTAGTCACCAAAGGCTACTCTTGCGATCAAGGTATTTGCACCACTTTTTGTAGTTCTTAAACAACTTTTTCATCACTTCATTCAGCGCGTTATCATCCAACTGCAACGAAAATTGCTGATAACTCAGGCTTCAGAGAAAATAAAAGGGAATATCAAAAGGGATAAAAAATGTTTATGTAAACATATGAAGGAAAGAAAGTAAGATTTTTAATCTGTTCAGGCTCAGGGTTTGAATATTTTCAGGGAAGAACAGAACCTTTGATTGTGGATCAGTCTTTGGATTTCGTCGTATGTGTACGTTAGCAAGAAGTAAAATCAGATGCTCACGCTGATTGGAAACATTGTCTGTCTGTATGTCAAGAAGTCGATGAGACATCAAAACCCCAGATAATGGGTAGGTTAAGAGTCAGAATCATAGTTATGAAGAACAAATAAGCAACGAAAAATATTCAAACAAAGTGTGGATTGCCTTTCCTGAAAACCAAACATAGATTGTAGCCAGTCCAAGAGGTCTTCGTTAACCTTGTGTTCATAAGTTTTGGGCCATGGAAGACCTCTAGTATTGCGAAGAGCAACAGCGGCAGCTTGGATCTTGAAAGTGAGAAAGTATCAGAAAGTCCTTCACTTTGATAGCATTAAGTCAACTCAATAGAATCGTAATATAAAAGAAACCTCAGGAAATTTCATGACTGCTTGATTGCCACTGTCTGGATCAAGAGGGAGTATATTGAAAGGGAGATATATCTTTGTCTTCTCTTTAACTTTATCAGCGGCTTCCAAGATCTAAAGATAGTAAAACAGATGATCTGATTGGTAAATACTACTACTTGGTAGATAAGTAATATCCATATGAACATGAATGATGATTAAAGTTCAGCAACAGCCACGGGAAAAAAACAACTTGGTAGGCTATACCTCATGGTCAACTTCAACAGAATGCTGTTGAGTGACTGCCTTTAAAACCTCAAATAGAACATTAGCAGTCTGGTATGCCTTGGTAAGTTGAGCACTGCATGAATAAAGAAAAATTGGCAACAATGTTGATAAGAAGAAGATTATGAAATGGCAATATAACGCACCGATCCACTTGGTCGGAGACATTTTGAAGTGCTTGAATATATTTCTTATAATAGTGTTGATAGAAGGCCTGTATTTCCCGTGCATCACTCTTGCGGGCCCTTCCTCTCAAGGTGGGTTCATTCTCCTAATAGAAAAAAAAACAACAGGCTATTGAGAATTTGAGATATATATCCCTGTGACATGGTTGGGTTTTTAATTCATACGAGGCATTGGTGTGGTCACCTAAAATCTTTCAACATTTTCTGGACAAAATTAACTACATATTTTTTTAGAAGCTAAGACTAACCTCCTATGATGATATAAGATATAACTCTTAATGAGCACAATGAAAGATTCATTTACACGATCATGTAAATGTTGCAATTATTAGCATGCATAAAAATGTTGAAACATAGCACTGGCTAAGGGGCTATGTGTAAAGGAAAAAGGTAGAGGAAAGGATATAAGCAGAGGCAAGCAGTCAATGGCGCCATCACAGGACAGTTGTAGGATAAAACAAAAATGGATGCAAACAACTGACTAGAGCTAGAAGTACTTGAAATGCATACCCTTTCAAGCCGTTGCAAAAGAGCCGTCTTGAATTGCCGGACACCCCGGCCACTTGAAGTTGGATCTAACCTGTGAGCCTTTTCAAATGCATAGAATCGACCTATCCATTATTACAGACATACAAATTAATGTGATCAAACACATTGTGAAGCAGAATAAGATTAGTATTCTTTTTTTATGGTAATAAGCAATGAGTGAACAATGTTTGTAAGTGGATCACCAAGACGCCAGTGTTTTTCTGTAGCTAACTTCTTTGTACGTATTGTGGAAGTGTCGAGATAGGGGTCCCCCCAAAATTCTTATCCAAGAAAGAAGTCTAAGATAATGATAGCATAAAGCATTTCCATCACCAAGGCGCAATTAGGCAAGAGAGATGTTCGTTTGTGCATTCAAATTTTTAAAACAAAACATTAGCAAGCTTTCACACTAGGTGACATTGTGACAGTCCAGTTAGCAGTATGCCAAAATATGGTCTTTGTATAGTGGAAATGCAGAAGATAGCTGGAGGTGTTGATTCATGTGCAATCTCACAACAGCGAAATCACTGGGAGGAGCAGGTTGGGGTAGCTTACAGAGGTATGCAACCCGGGGATTGGACGCCTCGACCTCATTGGCAACACGGAGGATGGGCGCGATCTCAACAAGCGATGATGGCACCACCTCACTGTCAAAGATTTGCTCGCCCAGGTTTACCGCTGTCTGCGTTCTGAGGATGCGCCGCTGCCCCGGTGGCTGCATTGGCCCTCCCCGGGATAGAGTTCGTGACAATGACGTCATCGTGATTGCTTCCAGTCACCACGCCCAAACCTGCGCACACGAACTGAAGGTAAGTTGAGTATCGAGACGAATCTAGAAAGTGGTAGGAGCTTCTAGAAGGCAGAGATGTTAGCACTACCTTGCTGCTCTCAGGCAACAATTCTATCCACCAATCAATCACCTGGAAACCGTGCTGGGGGCCTAGCCCATGCCTGGAATTTCCAAAATTTCAGAAAGTTCAGAATACGAACATGCAGAGCTTAGGAACCTAACCGCACAAGAGACAGTAAGATACTTTTAAACAGCGTTCGTCCCCACACAAGTCAAAACATGAAGTGCTATGCTACTAGAACCTTCTAGAACAACGAGGTGGAAGCAGAGGTGGAGACGATTACCTTCCGCCGAGACCACCGCGGCTCCAAAATGCAAAACCCCAGCCTACAAGCAGAATCACGCCTGTGTCACAAACTTGGAGACACTTTCTCGCAGTCGCGGGGGCATCACAGCGCAGTTTCCAGAAAACTCCAGAAACCTTCTGTAAGAAGGTGATCAAAAGGAGGATTTCATTAGTTCCTCGCCCAAAAGGACAATGGGCGAGCAATCGGCGCGATAACTCGGAGAAGGCTAGAACCTTCTAGAAGCCTCCAAAGTGATAAGACCCAGCGCGCGAAACGCAGGCGAGCGGCTACGCACCTCGCTCGCGGCAAAACCCAGTAACCTCTCACCAGCAACAACACCGCACCTTACAGGCCACCGGCCGCGACGGCGCTCCACACCGGACGGCGACGCGGGACTTGTCGAAACCGCCGCGGGGATCCACCGGAAGGGGAGGAGGAGGTGATCGGCGTGACGCGAGGTGGTGGGGATTGGAGTTGGAGAGGAGGAGAGGATGCGGGTTTTTTTTTTTTTTTTTGAGTGGGAAGGAGGGAGGGAGGAGGATTTGGGAAGGAGAGACAGTGGAAGAGGAGAAGCTGGAAACTGTTTTTGACGTAGTTGGGCCGGAAACTGGGGATTATTACGGGGACGTGCCACTGGGAAGACGGAAGTGGAAGAAGGCGTGGACTAGTGGGTGCGGCCGTGCGCGAGTCCGGCGGTTGCGGCGGCGGAGGCGCGCTCATCAAAAGGCGGAGAGATCCGCGTCATCTCCAAGCAAGCCACGTCTTGCTTCGCTTCTTTTCCAATCTACTCCTAGTACGTACTCCTACTGAGGTACGTCTATGCATCGCACGTACGTGCACTGTCGTTCTGCAGATATATAGGTACATCCTTCCTCCCAAAATAAAACACTAATATAGAACATGATACATTCCAGTATAGGAATCTAGATGAATACGTTACTTTGCATATGAACATGAATATGTTTATTTAGGATGAATATTTTTATGTCACTTACATATTAGAATTAGGGCCCCTTTGAATCACATGGATGAAAAAACAGAGGAATAGGAAAAACATAGGATTCTGACAGGAATGTAAGTGTAAAACAAAGGATTACAAAACACAGGAATAACATAGGAATAACCGTTTGATTGGACCATAGGAAAAACACAGGAATTTAAGGAGAGATAAAGAGAGATAAAGACTCAGGGCCCATTCATAGAAATTTTAGAGGATTTTTTCCTATATAGCCCTTTGAATCAAAGGAATTGATCCTATAGAATCCTATGAAATTCCTATGGATTGTCTTTTCCCATGCAAGTTTTGGAGGAAATTTAACATGAGGTAGAACCTCATGGAAAGAATCCTTTGAGGGCCCCTTTGAATCGCAGGATTGAGAAAACGTAGGATTTTGATAGGAATGTAAGTGTAAAACAGATGATTGCAAAATGCAGGAAAAATATAGGAATGACCGTTTGATTGAACCATAGGAAAAACACAGGAATTGGATTAGAGAGATAGACTCAAAAGAAAGTTAGCAAAAGGTCGAAGCTCTTGCTAAATTTCCTCCAAAATCTCTATAGGATTGTCCATTCCATAGGAATTTCAAAGGATTGGATAGGATGTAATCCTTTATTTCAAAGAGCTTCATAGGAAATTTTCCTATAGGATTGAAATCCTCTAAGGGCCCCTTTGAATCGCAGGGTAGAAAAAACGGAGGAATAGGAAAAACACAAGAATTGAAGTGTAAAACAGAGGATTGCAAAACACAGGAAAAACACAGGAATGGTCGTTTGATTGGAGCGCAGGAAAAACGCAGGAATCGGATGAGAGAGATAGACTCAAAGGAAATTTTCCAAGAGGTTGGAGCTCTTGCTAAATTTCCTCCAAAATCTACATGCAATGTGTCATTCCATAGGAATTTCATAGGATTTGGAAAGCTTCAATCCTTTGAATCAAAGGGCCAAATAGGAAAATTTCCTATAGGATTTGAATCCTATGAAATTCCTACATAAATCCTTTGATTCAAAGGGGCCCTAAAATTCCTATATATTTCCTCCAAATCAAAGGGGCCCTGAGTCTTTATCTCTCCTCAAATTCCTGTGTTTTTCATGCGGACCAATCAAACAGTCATTCCTATGTTTTTCCTGTGTTTTGTAATCCTCTATTTTACACTTGCATTCCTGTCAAAATCCTATGTTTTTCCTATTCCTCTGTTTTTTCATCCCTGTGATTCAAAGGGATCCTCAAAGGATTTCTTCCATAAGGTTCTACTTCTTGTTAAGGGCCCCTTTGAATCACAGGAATGAAAAATCGGAGAAATAGGAAAAACATAGGATTCTGACAGGAATGTAAGTGTAAAACAGAGGATTGCAAAACACAGGAAAAATATAGGAATGACCGTTTGATTGGACCACAGGAAAAACGCAGGAATTTGAGGAAAGATAAAGACTCAGGCCCCCTTTGATTCAAAGGAAATTCATAGGAATTTTAAAGGATTTCATTCATATAGGAATTTTTCCTATATAGCCCTTTGAATCAAAGGAATGAATCCTATGTAATCCCATGAAATTCCTATGGAATGCCTCTTCCCATGCAAGTTTTGGAGGAAATTTAGCATGAGGTTCTACCTCATGTTAAGAATCCTTTGAGTCTCTCTCTCCTCAAATTCCTGTGTTTTTCCTGTGACTCAATCAAATGGTCATTCCTATGTTTTTCTTGTGTTTTGCAATCCTCTGTTTTACATTTATATTCCTGTCAGAATCCTATGTTTTTTCATTCCTGTGATTCAAAGGGGCCCTCAAAGGATTTCTTCCATGAGGTTCTACTTCTTCTTAAAATTCCTCCAAAACTTGTATGGGAAGAGGCATTCCATAGGAATTCAGGGCCCCTTTGAATCGTAGGGTAGAAAAAACGGAGGAATAGGAAAAACACAGGATTCTGACAGGAATTGAAGTGTAAAACAGAGGATTGCAAAACACAGGAAAAACACAGGAATGGTCGTTTGATTGGAGCGCAGAAAAAACGCAGGAATCGGATGAGAGAGATAGACTTAAAGGAAATTTTCCAAGAGGTTGGAGCTCTTGCTAAATTTCCTCCAAAATCCACATGCAATGTGCCATTCCGTAGGAATTTCATAGGATTTGGAAAGCTTCAATCCTTTGAATTAAAGGGCAAAATAGGGAAATTTCCTATAGGATTTGAATCCTATGAAATTCCTATATAATTCCTTTGATTCAAAGGGGCCCTCAATAGGATTTCATAGGGCTCATTCCTTTGATTCAAAGGGCTTTGTAGGAAAAATTACTATAGGAATGAAATCCTCTAAAATTCCTATGAATTTCCTTTGAATCAAAGGGGGCCTAAAATTTCTCCAAAACTTGTATGGAAAGAGGCATTACATAGGAATTTCATAGGATTCCATAGGATTCATTCCTTTGATTCAAAAGGCTTTGTAGAAAAAATTTCTATAGAAATAAAATCCTCTAAAATTTCTATGATTTTCCTTTGAATCAAAGGGGCCTTATTTATTTTGAAACGGCTGGAGTGTGCATGTAACTATATTTATACGGATCCAGCCTGCAGTTACGGTACGGTGTCCTGCACCAGTCTTCTCATTTTCTTCTTCCGTTTGCAACTTTGAGAGAGAAAAAAAAACAAAGAGGAAGAAGCAACTTTGCAAGTGTCGTCCTAGTTCTTGCAGTATAGGATAGCAAAGCTAGGGCGATCGATTGCCTGTGTTAGGTGCCGTGTGCAGCCTACCGTGTCTTCTCGAGAGAGAGACAGAGAAATAATCGATCGATCGGTGAAGACGACACCAACCGAAAGTGAAATGGCGAATGCTTGGTGTCCAACCGTCCGAGGGGGAGCAAATGACGAAACGAAGTCTCTGCACACTTCATTACGCGCAAGTGTCGTTGGCGAACGAGCTGCCGAGAAAGGTGCCGATATAATTGCCAGACGGCGACCCGCTCTGCAGAAATCGCACCAGGATTTTTTTCTTGCCCTGCTGCATCAGTGTCTCACCAGACATAGATGATCAGGCCCAGCTACTGAACGTTTCTTGGAATGGTCTCTCTTCAGATCATGGATCTGATGTTAAGAGGCAAACCCCTCCTCTATTTTTTGGGCAAACCTTATCGCAAAGATGTAATGGACCCCAAGATCTTCCTGTCTTGTGATGCTTCAAAGAATTTTGGCTATAATCTCACGCTGACATTTCTTCTGAGATCAACCACCGGTAGGTTCGCAGTCAGGTCACTTCAGCCGGCCGAAGAATGTGCATCTTGTTCCTCCGTATTCCATCCTTGTGCAGACAAATATAGAATAAATATGCTGTATGTTTCAGCAGCGCATCTCGAGTCCATTCCTGCTCCCCATCTTCCGTTGTGGAATGGGATCTGTTCCTCTTTAGCCGAGAGCGTTTCAGAATTCAGAGCCGCATCGCTCACATACTTAAAAAAAAACCCTACTATCCTTTTTTTTACGGTAATACGAAGTTAGTACTAACATGCTGCTATCAAAAGTTCAGAACAGATACCATAATTTACAGCATCTGTAAATATCAGTTCAGAAGGTAAAAAAGGGGGGAAAGTAGTCTGCACGAATGAACAGCTCAGGTTCGTTGTTCTACAAGGCCGTGCACTTTGTTTATCGCATATGTACTCGCTCTTTATCATTTTCTATAGAAAAATGCCAAAGAAATTTTGGTCAAGAGAGACATCCTGGTCACTGTGCTGCGGGGGTTCGGTATGTATGGCCTACCATTTTGTCCTACAAAATCAGATGCTGAATGTGACTTTTTTTTCAGTACTATACACATGGCTACAAACTAACCATCATATGCGAAGGGTAGTGGAATGGCTGATTGACCAAAAGCTAAAAAGCATTTGAATATGGTTGAGATGATCTTCTGTTTCCCTGACAACATCTACCCTATATTCACAATCACCACCACTTACAAAAATGAAGTGTCATACACTGAAACATGTTAATACCTTTACTACCAGCAATGCAACACATGCACCTAAACTTGTTTACACTAGCCCGGTTAACGAGTTACTTGTAGAAAATTTCGTCAATCTAGTTCTACCATTTTGAAAATTAATTCTCTTTTCTTACTGACAATTCGAGCCATTTATTGATTCATGATTATGCAAGTTCCAAAATGTCCTCTTATCTTGAAAATACTCTACAGGATCACATTAGAATAAAATCTTAACCCAGACACAGTAGCACACGAACAAATTCACCCTTCACAAAGGAGAAAAGCACCACGGATAGATAGTTCTGGTTGACTCCACCGGTGCAGCTTTTCCTTCTTTTCCTTCCAAAGTGGCGTCTTCCTTTGCTAAAAGATAAGAGATGAGGATGGAGGAGGAGGAGGCGACGGCTGCGATGCGCGTCGGACCCTCTACTACGGAAAGGGCCTCCCCACCAATCTGCTGCCATTTCCGGTGGCAGGATGGGGGAACAGATTAGCTCGGCTTGAAAGCTACGAAAAAAGCAGCTCATCTTCTTCAGTCACCTGTCTGATCCTACTACGAACAGCCGGCGAGTGTGCTGCATCACAGCATCAGAGACCCAAGTAATTCGGTGTCCCGTGTCCCGGACGTCCATGAGGCGGCACAAGTATCTGCCTTCTATTGGTCAAACACTCAAACCTGACGAAATGGCTGCTTCCTGCTTTGTGTCTGGATTAACCTTCACGCCTCGGTGGAATCAGCAGAGTGAGCCAATTGTAATTTTCAGAGCAGTACACTTCATTCCAAGTTTCCAACTTGACAAGTGGTTTAATAGTTGTTCGTTGTTCGTATCGTAGACTGGTAGAATGAGGACAGACATGGTGATGCTACCAGTAATTAATTCAGTGATGATGATGCTATCAGTACTATAGCGTTACTTTTTCTTTAGGCGATTCAGATTCTTCAATCAGATGTGTCACGATCTTGCCAAGGAACGGGTCACCTGACTGAGCCTGCCCAAGTGCTAACTAAGAATTGAGAAATCAGGTTCAGTGCAAAGAGAGACCCCCACACCATATTCAGAGACTTAGAAAAGGTGGACTTGAGACTAAATCGTCTTCAGCTTTGTTTTCTTAGCGAAGGGGGTTTGCTGAGTGCAGAGGAGATATCAGAAATGAAAAGGAGAAGATAAGAAAAGAAAGGATCAATGATTGATCATTTGATCATATCTGATGTACCTTTAATTCGGAGGTAGTAATGTTTAATCAGGTGGTGAAAGCGTATGTGGAGCTACTAGAGAAAACAAGGTAGGCTTCTGGGTAGACATGGACTGATACTAGTAAAGAAACCTTTATATGGTGCATAATCTAAAGCCAAGTGGAGTATAAACCATTGAACTGCATCTGTGGAAAGTTTGGATCTTGGAATTTTTAAGTTCTTCTACCTCATTCAGGAATTCAGATTGTGTGTAGCGAAAGCCACCCACAAGGCCCATCAGTATTCAGGTCTTTAGCCCAGTCAATATGGAGGCCTATAATCCACTAAAAAACCAAAGGCCTAATTGCCTAAACACACAATAACACAATATCTGAATTTTCTCTGAGAAGAACAGCACTGGTATTGATATTGCAAACTTGAATTTACAACGTGGTCGCCGAGACGATGATTCAACCGAGTATAAAGAAACAACGAGTGAATAAAAGCAAACACAGAGGCAGGAGTCAAAGAACCTACTCTACCTGAACTACACAGCTAGTTCAATTTTGTGTTGTTCTTTTCTGCCATTTTATTCTAGCTAAACTGTAGAATCGATCAGTCATAAACGAATTCAATTCGAAGGAAACCAATTAACCAACCCGAGCAGGAGAGCTCGATGACGAGAGAAGAATCAGTCACAGCTCGGCCACCTGTCATGGCAGAGGCTTCAGTTTAGAGTTCAGAGCTCAGACCATGTCGCTGATGAGCAGCACGTGGTTGGTGCGGTGCCTCTCCACGAACATCTTCGACGCCCCCGCCACCGTCTTCCTCCATGTCTGAGCATCGCGCAGAGTGAAACCAATTCAGCATTGGAGAGTTGGAAACGAGGCATTGGAGAGTTGAGAGCTTAGCTTACCCGCTCCAACGCGGCGAGGAGGAGGCCGATCCCGGCGGCGTCATCGAGGCGCGCGGCCCCGCCCCGGTGGGAGTGGCTCGCGGCGGATCCCTTGCGGGCGGAGGCCGTGGTGGTCGTCGGCAGCAGCAGCCCGGCCTTCCACTCGGTGGACCCGCCGATGCTCCGCCTCCGCTTGGGCGCCGCGAGCTCCGCCCCCGACTCCAAATCCCTCGCGGAGAGCCCCGACGCCACCCTCCTGGACGACCGCTTCCGCCGCAGCGCGAGGCTGCGCCGCGGCGGCGTGATCTGCTTGGCGTGCGCGTCCGGGTCGGCGAACTTGCGCAGGAGCTCGTCCGACGACGCCCTCGCCACGTGCTGCACGGACACCGCCCCGCCGCCGCCCTGCGCCGTTGCTGCCATTGCAGAGATCGGAGGTTTGACACAGTGAATCCGTTGGTGAATGGGAGGAGCGGGAGATGGGGGAGGCGAGGGGGATTTAAGCGCGGGATTTAAGGGGAAGACGAGACGAGGCGAAGAAGAAGAGGAGGTTGATGGGGAATATAGCCGTTGGGGAGCGCGGGTGAGGATCTCACGTGCCGCGCGCGCGCGCGACGCTGGCGCGGTCGGTCGCTGATCTGGTGCGGCGCAGGCTGGTCCCGGGAGGGAGACGCCTTTCTGACTCTGTGGCTCGTGTCGGTCGTAGTAGTGGTGCTGTGGTGGTGGGGGGGGGGGGGGGGGATTTATTTTCTCCCGTGAGCAAGAACGGGCAGGAAATCTGACAGGGACTATAGAATGATGTGGATTCAGGATTTCAGGCCGTTAGGATTCAGATCCATGGTGATTGATGATGACCGTAGCAATGGCGTAGTAATGCTGTACTGATATGAGCATTAACGAAAAGCAGTTTGGTACTACACCGGGATTGCGTTGCAGGAGTTGAGTTCACCTTCATATGAGGTCATAGCATGACAGGCATGATGATACAGGGGGGGCCTCAACCTCAACAGTCACCACTCATCACACGTTCACAGTCGCACTGATGCCTGGGAGGGGAGCAGACTGAACTGAATGCCAAGACATCATGGCATGGCATATACTCCTATTCAGCAGTCAGAGAACGGTATGATTGTACTGTCCATAGCAAAGCATTATAAGATCACAATGCACTGATACAACAAGCTCAAAAGGCAACTTGTATGGAGTTTCAGTTCGATTAGGTGCGTGTACACTGTTAGGGGGAATGCGAATGTTTATCAGAGACTGATGAATGAAACACACAAGCCTGCATTTTCAGGAGACCCGTATGTTAAATTTTTTACTATAAATTCCACTCTCAGGGATTCATACAAAAGAACAGAACCAAACCACTGTTTCCACCTCGAAATGACATATGAAAAGGCAATACCCAAGGCACAGCTGGAAACAATGGTACAACACCATGAAGCAGTTGTTCAACACTTAAGAATGAAACCATCAAGTGCAATTTATCCAAGATTGGCATACAATTGGACCGAAGTATGTACAACTAAAAAGGTGCAGAATTATCCTAAAATTTGAACTTCTAAGATTTTGCAGCGCCAAAGACCAAACCAGCAATCCAGGTGAAGAGCGATCCGATAACCCACAAGACTAGAAGGAACACAATGATACCAGCCAAAATAGTTAGGACGGGTGGGCCATCTGTTGAGCTTGAGTTATCATCACTTGAGCTGTTCTGTTTTGCACCAGTGCTAGTAGAATCTGGCTTCTGGTGCTCCGTCTGCAAGCCTATTGAATCCTCGAAACAGAGAAATTTTCTTGCAGCTGGATCAGGAAGCCTGTATGTCAACACAGTTAGGAGCGACACCTTGGAGGATGCATTACATTATTCATCGACAAATTACTTAAAATGAACAGCCAATTTGCAATGCACAAAGCAACTTATGCACATAAGAGAATAAGTGCTAACATAGGGGCAAAACACCCATGAAATCAATCATAAAAAAAACTATGACCAGATTGACTCCACAGATTGTTACGAAATGTTTTATTCACCGCATAGGCTAAGCATGGAGGAGAAGCTTGTATTCTAGTCGCAACATTTTTGCAATACCCTTTTTTTTTCAGGAATACAAAGATTTGTTTATCTTTGTATTAAGACAGATGGTTTGTATTACAGCCCAAGCGAAATTGAACTATGAACAAAAATGACAAAAGAGAAAAAAAGGGATTTGGAAGGCTAGCGCTCAACGCTAGATTGGCAACAGGATTATGTGACCACGGAGAAGCTAGCAGCTCAATGCGAGATTGGCATCTCGGAATGCCATAGAGCTGCTTTCTCTACTGCAGCGGCTGCCACCTCCATCCAGGTCTTTTGTTGGCCGTTGAAGCCACCGCCTCGTGAACTTGCAAGGCCATAAATTCACAGTGGAAATTGAAGTGGATGCAACCTGTCAACCTCACAACTAAACAACCGAAGTCTAAAAAAAAGTTGGGCCTCTTTTGACATGAGTACTCAGTACACCACGGAGTATGATATCACGCTACACATAAGTAATCGTACATTCGGTGTAGTTGCCAGCCAAAGATACAAATCTCAACAATAGAGGGGACGGTTCTCACTAACCATCCTAGATGTTAAAAATACAACAATGCGTAGGCTTAAGAATCAATTGCAGAAAACTAGCAATTCCTCAAAATGTGTGTTCATACTTTCAGCTAAATTCAGCAGCACTACGTATTCAATATGGACTACATCGATCCCCTTCCCCTCTCTAAGATCCTTTGTGGTAAATGGGTCCTCGCCAAATTGAATCCAATCGGGTTAGGCAAGCAAACCATACGGCAACAGCAGAATCGAAGCAAACCGTGATACTCTTTTCTCCAGCCAATGTCCATGAACAAAGGCGTGAGATAATAACTAGATAAGAGAGGGAAGGGGAGGGCACCTGAATCCACGGAGGACGACGCGGGCGGCTCGGGGAGGGACGGCGGAGACAGCAGGCGGAAGCCGGCGAGGGGTTCGGACAGCCCGGAGAAGCGGAAGAGTCGAGGCGAGGTGGGGGAAGATGGCCGCCATGGCGCCCAACGGCCGAAGAGGTGGAGACTGGAGAGAGAAGGGAGCCTAAAACCGGCGCAATCGAGTAATCGAGGTGGGGAAATGGGATGGAGACAGCAGAGGCTTTGTTGGAAAAAACGGATGGTTTAGATCTGATGATCTTCTTGTCATTTTGCTGCGGTCACCTGTAGCCACAGATGAAGCATAGGAGTATGGGATTAGGATAGTTCTAGCTTGTGCGCTTCGAGCCTATGAAGTGCTTGTTTTCGAATTTCCAAATTTCAAAAGTCTTTTGTTTTCCGTTGTTGGGTATGTTTGGTAGAGCTCCAACTTTTAAATTTAGCTTAGAAATCGGCTCTGGAGTGGAGTTATAGGCCTGTTTGGTACAGCTCCAACTCCTAAACTTCCGGAGTTGGGTCTGGAGTGGAGTTTTGGGTCTGGAGTGGAGTTGTAGAGCTGCCTAAACCCAGCTCCACGACTCTAGTTTATTCTGTGAAAGAGCTCCACCCAGCTCCACTAAACTGTTTGGCTGAGCTCCAGCTCTAGGAGAGGTAGAGCTGTACCAAACAGGCTCGTACTCTAGTTCATTTTGTAAGAGAGCTCTACCCAGCTCCGCTCTCATTTTAGTTGGAGCTGAAACTGTTTGGCTGAGCTCCATGAGAGGTGGAGCTAGAGCTGGAGCTGTGTCAAACATGCCCAAAGACAGCAAGAGAAAAATGTAAATTCATACATCATTCTTGGCACTTTTAATAGGATTTTTTTCACCAAAATAAGGGTAAGTCGAACCACACCAAATATATCAATTCTTAGAGTCTGGAATTAGGGGAAAAATACTCTTAACTCTTCCCGTTCATGTTGAACAACAACTCCATCTTCTGCAACCTGGGGAAGACATCTAACTCAAGCTAAACTTCTAGAGACTAGCAGTAATCTAATTTACTCTGCTGTCTGCTGTGCAATTTTGCATCTGCATATCTGATCCGAAATATACATTTTCTAAGACTGATGAGAAAGAATACAACATCTGACGAATAAATCAGCTGTGGATACTCATACCGAGAAAAGAAGCATACGCTTCTTTTTGTTTAGTACAAACCGTGCACCCTCTATTTCAGCTTTTGATACATCGAGGTTTAGGCAATTATATCAACACATCTAATTGGAGAAACCTAGGTCATCACAATCTAAAAAAAGAACTACAAGTACATCCTTTAGACAACCCTGCGCCAGTTCAGGATTAAGATGTCCACAGCAGCATGCTACATCAACTCACTTGCACTCCAGACAAGTAGAGCATGGTCAAGCATCGAAGCTTGTTGAGAAACTCAACGTGCTGCACTCCAAGTTCCTCAAATTGAGCTGCATTAAAATATATACTTGTGTTTGTCAGCAATTTATCTGTGTATGCAATAATGCATATAAAAAACAATGTTAAGTGTTAGAATACAAAAAAAGGGCAAAGAAAAATGTTTGCATACGCATACATAAATCAAGGCTATGTACTATACTAAGACAGAAGACCAAAGGAAAAGTGTCCATCTTCAAAGAGGACTTCTGGTTTGTCATGGTTTTTTAAATCTTCCACAAAGAAGTGTATGAAATTGTTTTACTGGTTCATCATTCGTGAACTTTTTACGATGTGTAAAAGGAGCTAATCCCCACTTGATGACTTGGCCTCCTTATAACTTTCTAGATTGCAAAGATAAAACAGCGCAGCTTTACCAATAGTCAGCATACAACTAGAGGTATTTACCATGACAGCAACTCCACTATCACAAAATCTTGGAATGCAGATCAGCCTCACTTTTTGTTTTTCTAGCCCTGCATGATGACAAATATGTTTAGTTGGGCGCTAAAACAACATAGGAACCTTACATGAAGCAGTACCTTGCAATAATTGAGTTTCATATTTATCTTGATTCCCGACGAAGTAAACATGGGGACAGCTTTCAACGAGAAAAGGATCCTTGTCTGTGTATGGATAACATCCTGGGTGAAACAGATATTTACATGAGAAGGGTTCTAGCTTTGCTATAAAAATGGTCACTAAATCAATAATGAAATTGAATTACAAACAGTTGGATGATATAATACAGGTTTTTTACCAAGCAATCACAGCATAGCACAATGGGGCTGAAATGCCTGAAGAGTTACCTAGACTGTTTGGAGCAGTTGGAGCAAGATGACGCCACCGCAGTGTTCTTTCCACGAATTCCAGCTTGTCTTTGGCATCAGAGTACTTGTAGAGGTCATCTATGTTCTGTCCAGATGTTCCAATAAACCTACATGCAGAACTTCCATACTTCAAACTCCACAGCTGCTTTAATTGAGGAAAGTTAAAAAAACACCAACACCCACCGGACACTATCAAGCTCGAATTGATGTGGATTCGAGCACGATGAAAAAGTGTTATAAGTGGCTGCTCCAGCAAAAAGGCATCTATGCAAAGGCTGCCAAAAAAAAAGCAAGACATAAGTTAGTCATGCATGCATAAAAACATGCTTGAATGTTACTAGTGCAAATTAGTCATTATTTTTCCATGTCAATAGCCCACCTGTTGAGGCAAAGAAAAATTTGCTGGGTCATTAGATCCAGGCATCATGTCCACAGGCAATGATGCCACAAGCTGCAGAAGAAATGGATTACATTCATACTGACATCATAAACCTGAATAATTAATTGCGTTGATAATATTTGAGGGGGGAGTAAACGGTTGAAACCTGAGTGAGCATTATATCCAATTCTTTGATTGGTTCAGCTATCCTGGATTGATCTTTCGATGCTACTGCCTGAAATATCAGTGTTCACCACTAGTGCAATAAACTAAAGCTATGGAGTTTCACCAAAAACATGTAATATGCAGTGACATTACCTGACCATTGAAGAATCTTGGAGAAATATGTACCGAATTCCCAGCCACCACAACACGTACTATGTTGGATGCTATGGATTGCTCCTAATTAAATTGCAAAGAGATCATCTAAATTTAGTGCATATCTTCACTTGAAAACCTTCATTTTGGGAAAAATAAAATAAAAAGGCGCATACATTCTCATCACCCAAATGCCCTGTGATATGGTCTATAAGAAGTTGGAATTGCAGAGGATTGAATTTTTCACTCCCAATACTTAATCCCGACACAAATACCACATATTTGTCCTCGTCTGTAACAGAGGTAAATGCCAATGTAAGAGATCTAACCATCAAAACTTGTGTAGGCAAATGGGGAAAATGGAGAATGAGCAAGCCAGGATAGGAAAAAATTTACTTATGCTAGGTAACGTAATTTGAGGAGGAATCCCAGCCTCAAGAATATCTTCAACAAGAAAGTTGCCAGCACTTGTTTCTTTCCCATGTAAAGCTATTACAACTCCTGTGGACAATTGGTGGGTGAGTATTCCAAGCAACATGATATATTGGATAAAATTGTTCGACAAATGCTACAATCATAAAGAAACTAGTCTAGAATTTGCAAACTTAACTTTTCAGTGAAAAATATCAGACATACCAGTAACATATGCTGCTGGAGGTATGGCTCCTGCAAGTGTAACTCTCCCACTTTCATCTTCCAGAATGAGATGATCATCAGGATGCATGAAATTGTGTGGTTTAACAAGAGGAATAGCAGACCTCTGTAGCACAATAGTTCATTCAGAGGCCATCCAAGTTAATAAGGATAAGAAGACAAGACATGCTAAATTACCTCCTTAGAATATTCATCAAGAATGGAAGGCTTTAATTTCATGTGCTTATATAAAGTTCCAACGATTATGCAATCCTTTCCTTCTTCAAGTCCCAACACAGTAGTAACTGCAGAACAGCAAGAGGCGTGATTTGAAGTTTAAACGCTCTGTGGATGCATAAAAGCAAGTGTCTCTTACACGATCCATTTCCATGAACTAAGATAGACACGCGGCAAATGGATCCAATGTTCAATCTTGGTAATAAGGAGGCACATTTCATAAGATCAAACATTCATACTGACTAAATAATGCCAGCAAAAGATCTTACGATTGATTACTAGCTTCATTGCGAATTAACTGCTGGACAAAGCATTTAGTAAGAAAAATGTTTTTTTTAGTTCAGTTACATTCACCAACCAATAAAAATCTATTGGTAAATAGAAGATGCCAAATCAGTATTTTGTGAATACTATTTTCAGCAAGCATAGACAAACTAGCACAGGACAAGCTCATAACACCCCCTAAAAAAACTCAGTTGATGGTCATACATTCACACTATGGATGGAGCAAAGATCGTAGCCGATGTGCCAAATTGCTTCTAAAACCCTAATATGAGCTCAATGGGCCTGAAATTTCGCCCCCAGAATTTTGTAGAGCGAACCAGAGAATCCACATGCCAGCACATAAACCCTAACTAAACCCATCATGCTACATCGCAATCAACTCCCAAAAACAGTTCAAGCTCCAAAAACAAAGCAGAGAAACCCTAACGATTTAGGAAAAAGCGAGGGGTCGGACCAGGAAGGTGCGGCTTCCAGGAGGGGACGAGGGCGTGGAGGAGGTTGCGCATGTGGTGGAGTCGCGTGAAGTAGATGTGGCTGTACTGCTGCCCCTGGTACTTCTCCCCCTGGATCGCGTACCTCTCGTCCTGCCATCCCCCAATCGCCATTGCTCAGCCCAGAACCCAAATCGAGGTGATTCGAGAATCAAAAGAAGGAGAAGCTTACGAGGTTGCTGTACTCCGCCTGCTTCCTCTCCATGGCGGCGGCGGCGGCGGCGGCGAGTTTGGGGTGAGACCTGAGGTTGGAAGCGGCTCCGCGATTTGGTTCCCGCTCCTCCCGCCTCCGCGCGCCCAAATTTATCCGCCAAAATCGCGCTCCATTTGCTTCGCGCGCCGCCCGCGGCGTCGCCAACCCTCGCGGCGGCAGCGTGCTGAACTGCTGACTGTTGTTGCTGACGCCTCGAGATCTAGCGGGCTTTCAGGCCCATAATGCCTTCTCCGGCCCATTCGCGGGGAATGGGCCGGAACTGAGGCCTTCCAAACAGGGCCTAGCCCGGATACAGAGTAATAAATTCACTTTAGGTCTCTTAACTTGCCAGCGAGTTCGATTTTCATCCTTGAACCAATTGACATGTGGGTCCCATTATTTTTTAATTTTATTATTTAACTGACATGCGGATCCACATATTATTTTTTTAAAATTATTAATTTTTGCTTCATTCATCACGTCAATGCCACGTCAGACGAAATACCGAGTCAAATTAGCCACGTAGGTGCCACGTCATCTGAAACCACCGTCAAAACTGTCATGGGATCTGCTGGTTTTGATAGTTGAGGGACCCGTTAAAGGATGAAAATTGAACTCGCTGTCAAGTTAGGGACCTAAAGTGAACTTATTCCGGGTACAAACGGCGGGGACGGCCCGCTATATATGACGCCGTGGTCGCGGTCGCGCGATGGGGCCGCGAAGTCGCTCTCGGCCGGCCGCGTTTTCCTCGTGGTGCGTCGTCTCTTCTTCGTGTGATGATGCATCGCGCTTCGCGCGGCGTGCTCCATGACCAATGAGCACTATCAGTTTCCATTTCCTTTTCGATGGAGACGTCATTTTCTTGTACACGTGGAGTTAGGTTAAGTAACTTTTTCATGTACAGAGCCAGTACTCTCAGCTCTCAAAGAATAGACATTAATTTACCGTAATACTCGGTCTCCGCTCACAAATACCTATCGGTTTATCAACAATAGTTATAGTTAATTACATAAAATATATTCACAGTTATGAATGTTGGAGTAGTAGATATTATTCACTTTTGTATTGCTTAAGAAACAACGGTCAAAATCACATCCATCAAAGTATGTAAACGTTCATGTGTGCCACGAACAACCACGTACTTCCTTTGATCAGATGAAAGAGATACTCGAGCCATCACCATCGTCCAATATCATGTGCTGTATCTATATATGACGCACGTGCACTCTCCCAGCTGCCCAATACATGCTGGATTTTTGTTTTCTACCATAAGCGAAGTTGAAGATTTCTGCTCTTATATTTTTTAAGTAGGTGTTGGTAAAGGCACTAGGAAGACCATGACAAGTTAACAATAACTAGTGGCAATTGTTTATGTGCCAATTTTTTGACAATTTGTGTACCTTTGAATACATAAAAGGATCATCCATTATAATTTTAATAACCTTATCCATGACTACATTTTTTATCAACCACTAAATCAACACCTAATATCTCACCTTGTAATGCGAAGAGATCATATAATATCCCACATGTTTATTTTCTTCCAACAACAAAATCTTTCTAGCACGCAAAAAATCTCATGTCCCAATTGTACCCATGAACCTGTCATTTTGGATTGTAGTAGCTTTGTTTTAATTAATATTAGTAAACGTCACCCTTTCACCTAAACAAATTTGCAGTTAGGTATATCAGTAATCCTATATATTAGAGATGAGACACAAATTCTACACGTGGACCTCGGAAACACACGCGCGCGCACAAACTAGAGTATGTTTGTATTTTCACGGTCTTTTTTAGAACGTATGATTCTCATAACACATAAATAGAAAAGCAAAGATTGAGTTGCTATAAAACCTTAAATCATACTCCCTCTGTTTCAGGTTATAAAGTATTTTAACTTTAATATTAGTAAACTGTTCCAAGTTCGATTAAGGGTGTGTTTAGTTTCACGCTAAAATTGGAAGTTTGAAGAAATTGGAACGATGTGACGGAAAGGTTGAAAGTTTATATATGTAGTAAAGTTTGATGTGACGGAAAAGTTGAAAGTTTGAAGAAAAAAGTTGAGAACTAAACAAAGCCTAAGTTTATAGACTAATATTTATAATACTAAATTAGTTTCATCAAATCAATAATAGAATATATTTTCATAATAAATTTAACTTATGTTGAAAATATCAATACCTTTTTCTGTAAACTTGGTCAAACTTAAGGTAGTCATCTTATAACCTGAAACGGATGTAGAAGATATTGAAAAAAATGTAGGAAAGCCACGTTAATGACCATTTGGTTGTAGCGGGGAAAAAAAGAATCAGGAGAGAGATAGACACGAAGGATTTTTTTCTTCTCCAAAAGTTTGAAGCTCATATTAGAATTTCTCCGAAATTCCTATATTTTAAGCCAATCCATATAAATTTCATATGAGTTTAGCTATTCTTTTGATCCAAATGATCATATGGATTTTTTTTTTCACACGATTGAATTTCTCTAAAATTCTTGTAGGAATTCTTCATTTCATAGTAGCCCTTAGAATATTCATAGTTGGGCAGTTTATCTTATGTGGTGTTCTTTTCTTCTGAAGATAATGATGAAGATTAAGTTTTTTATGCAAAACGAGATGGTATTAACGTATGGTTGATTGAGTTTTAATTAATACAAACTTAAAAAATAGATTAATATAATATTTTAGAGCAACTTTCATATAGATAGTTTTTTACGAAACATATCATTTAGCAGTTTAAAAAGCGTGTCACGAAAATTTTAATCTTGATCTAACTTTTATTGAAGTAAAGAACGAGACTTTAATATCATAGTTGTATATACACAAAGATTACCCGTGACCGGTGGGAATCAAACTCAAAGCCTTCCTTGTCAGACAAAGATACCAAATAACATGCCAATACATTTTCTATAGACTACCGTGAGATTCAGGATCCCCAAACTAGCCGTGAGCGAAGAGACAAACAGCTAAACATGATTTGTTCAGTTTCTTTTTCAGACCAACAAGCTAGTTTTATGTCGTAACGAAATAAATAAATAAATAAATTCGTGGCGTCACGCATGGCACCTTCTGTCAAATTGTGTACAGGAGGCAATTAATTGTACAAAATATGTGTACTTTTAGGCTTAGGGGGAGAATATAATAAGGCATATGGTATATGCTCTGTGTGTGCTGGCGCCAACGTGGATGGATAATGCCGCCGCGAAAATTCTCATTAAAAACTCGCGGGCCCCAACCATAGCCGTGCGCCCGTGCGTGTTCTTGTTCAGCTGGTGAAGTGAGCGGTGACGACTGACGACTCGAGTAACATTACATCGCCACACTGTTCGTGGGTAATGTCCTCTGTGGCTGAATCCGCCCTCGGTTTGTCTCAGCAATTTTCGTGTAAAACGTCGGCTACGTCAACCGTCAAAATCTCCTTTTCTCCTCCCGTTCTTCCCTTCCTTGCCGTCGAGGTCAAATCGAATCTCCCGTAGAGATCAACGGCACACACGAATTGAACAACGTACGTACACTCATCAGGCTGACGAATACCAACGGTGTTTATACAACCGCGAGATCGCACGCAGAAGCAGACGGGGATCAGGGAGGGACGATATTTTCCATGGCCGGGGAGGGGATCGCGATGCAGTACAAAAGGGTGATCTTGGAACACGGACGCTTCACCCGATTTCGGCCGTCCACCGCGCGGTGCCGGATGTGCCCGGACCCGACAGCGGCTGCTGTGCTGCCCCCTCCGCGCGGGATCGGAAAGCGACCCGTGAGGCGGCGGTGGCCGTGGAACGGCGTCGCCCACACACCCAAGAGCAAAATCCTAGTTACGTCCCACAGGAAACCGGGCCAGCCAACCGGATAGGGCTATCCGCTTCCTCTTACTATTTGTTTGCTTCCTCGCGACCTCGCTTTGTCGGCGAGTTTTCAGACTAGTGATGGGCCGTTGGCTGCTACTCCATGTACTGTGGCGTGATGGTGTCCCATGACCTGTTAATGCTAACACCATTCAAGCTACTACTTCTACTGCGTACTTCCATCGGTTACATAGTCCCGATTAACATTTTGAATAATAGCACGATCTGTAAAATATATTTTTAACCGTATTTTTTCTATTATAGTTAGTTATAGGTTCGTGTGTTGCAACGGTTCTTTTGTTGAGTTTAGCAGGAGGAATTTGGTTCACTGGGTTGTTCGATTTTTTATAATGATTTTAAAGATAATCCAAGAAATACCATTGACAAACGTCTAAATCCTAAAAATGCCACCGACAAATGTAAATTCTAAGAAAAGCCATCGTACAAACGACTTTGTTCCAAATATGCCATCGCCGTTAAGGTTCCGTCCATTCCCGCCGTTAAGTTCTATAGGATGAATAGTGTATTTAACGGTGCAAAATGGACGGAACCCTAACAACGATGGTATTTTTAGGACAAAATCGTTTGAACGATGGTATTTCTTGGAACTCAGACTTGTCAATGACATTTCTGGGACTTGTACGCTTGTCAATGGCATTTCTTGAATTATCTCATGATTTTATTAGAAATCAGTTTTTCAAGGTGGGCGGTTTTCATGGAAGGAAATAGATTTTTATGCGGAGGTGAAGGAGGTCGACTCTCTTTTTAAAGTAATAGAGATATATAAAAACAAGTAAATATTTACTTTTACTAAAATACTTTTAAATATTAATTAATCCATATGTCGTGTTTTGGTGATTTCAACATAAATATTTTAATAGTTATATTGACAGTCACAATTGTAATTGTCTAACTTCAATCTTGATAAAAAGGTAAAGAAAAAAAAGGGATCTGGATGGAGGGAGTGTATACCCCTTCCATCAATATCATTTTTTTAGTGAATTGTACTTTGGGCCATGTTTTATTGCCAAAGTTTCACTTTGTACCATCCTGTACGTGATCTTTTCACTTTGGACTAGAAAAAAATCTTTAAAATAGAGCTAAAGTTGCTCATGTGTCATATATATTCAAAATTTCTACTAAATTTTGAGATGATATAATAGGAATTTAGGGGCTCGAGCCCTAGCTACTTTAGGCTAGCTTGTCTCCCCATGTTTATCATCAGAGAAGAGATCTTCGTCAAGGCCGTGTTTTTTCTTGCCCCTACTCATCATCAGAGGAGATCTCCATTAAGGCTATGTTTTTAGTGTGGGTTGGGAAATAATTTTTCACGCAGAGATAAATTAGTACATT